AGGAGTTGGAGGTTGCTGTGAGCTGTGATGCCACAGCACTCTACCTAAGGGGATAGCTTGAGGCTCTGTCTCAAAAAAAAAAAAAGAAAGAAAATAATTTTGTTAGAAATGTCGGGTGGTGCCCGTGGCTCAGTGAGTAGGGCGCCGGCCCCATATACCGAGGGTGGTGGGTTCAAACCCAGCCCCAGCCTAACTGCAACATAAAAATAGCTGGTGGTTGTAGCGGGCAGCTTGTAGTCCCAGCTACTTGGGAGGCTGAGGCAAGAGAATCGCCTAAGCCCAAGGAGTTGGAGGTTGCTATGAGCTGTGACTTTACAGCTCTCTACTGAGGGTTAATAAGCAAAATTCTGTCTCGAAAAAGAAACGTTTTAGGAGATGGTTTCTGGGATTAACTGGTAATTGGTGGAAGAAAGAGAGGTCTGGAAAGTCCTCAGGCATCAGGAGTTTCTTCATGAGTCACGTACATATTCAGGGAAATTAGTATGAAATGTGAACTAACATAAAATCTTAGGCTTCCAGCAGACTTAATGGACCCCCTCTTGGCCACAGGGGGCCCCAGAAATACCCTAAAGCTAAATTACTGGCCTAGAGAGGTGAGGTCAGACACCTGGCTCTGCCTGATCTCTCTCCTTGGAGGTACTATGTGTAAGTCATTAACTGTGCCTAAGGCTATAAAAAGGTAAAGTTTAAAGCACACCTGCAGGGCATCAATTTACTTAAGGGATCTCTTGGGTCTGATGGCTAATGGCCTGTCTCTAACAGATTTCCTGAATTTAAAATATTCCAAGTTTTTAGAGCTTCATTTCTATGAGTCTAGCCAATTCTATCAAAGAATCTTTAAATCCTCCTATAACCTATAATACCCTGCTTCAAGATGTCCTGCCCTTTTTTTTGATAAGCCAATGTACCTTCCGTGTATTTTATGACTTTACCTGTAATTCCTGACTCCTTAACATGTATAAAACAAAACTGTAACCCAACCACAGCAAGACCACTTGCTTGTGGCTCCCACGTTTGGCAGAGCTTGTGTTCTTTTCTATTGACAGAAACATGTGGCAGAATTTTGGCCTGTGAAGTTATCATTCCTGGTTCTGTGCAGACTCCAGTTGGCCATACTGGTTCCAAGTAATTTCAGCCAGTATTATTTTACAAGCTCGTAGAGTTTCAGCAAGCTTTTTTTTTTCTTTCTTTTTCTTCTTCTTTTTTTTCTTAGAGACAGAGTCTCACTTTGTTCAGTGAAAACAAGAATAAGAGAGTCTTATTCTTTTTTTTTGGTTGCAGCCATCATTGTTGTTTGGCGGGCCCGGGCTGGGGGTTCGAACCCGCCACCTTAGGTATATGTGGCTGGCGCCTTAGCTGCTTGAGCCACAGGCGCCGAGCCGAGAGTCTTATTCTTAATTACTGGACTTATATACCTCATTCCTAGATTTGCCAGCAATAAGTCTCTTTATATTGAGGATACCTTAGTACTCCTTCTTTAAGCACCTCAATAAAATTGTTTCATCTCATTTTGATAACTGCCTCTGAAGAGGAGAAAGAATTCAGAGAAAAGGATAAGAGAATTCTTTGTTCAAAAACATTAGCATTTTTACTTATCGACTGCATGATGTGTTAGGAAATCAGAAGGATCAGCTTGACTTTATCTTCATTAACGGGCTATTCATGCAGGTCGATCTTAATACCCAGCATCCAAAGAAGATATAGTCTAGAAAACTAATTATGAAAATATAAAGTATCTGTTTCAGACAAATTGCCCTATCACATAGTATACTTAAGATTTCACCATGGCATATTACTATGAATTTGCATTCATTCACATTCCCTGCCTAACCACATCTGTTCTTTAAACTATCTTGATTTTTTTACTTCCACAACATATGTGTACCTAATTTATTTCTACACGTCACCAGGAATTGTTGGATTCTTATTGGACTTATGCCTACCAAGTATTGTGTACATTGATTACAGCAGCTGACCACATTCATTAATTTGTATTCCAACAACTAGATAATTTTTTGTTTTAAAATGACTTCTACAGTCCTATTCCTTAGTTTTAAACTTATGTGACATGACATAGACCAATCTTACTTGAAATCCTTATAGATAAATGATTAACATTAATAAATTTTCAAATTTTATTGTACATACTTCACAGCTTTGATAAAGGTGATGTTCACTGAGATATGTATAATTATTACAAATCCATAACAATTAAAAATTTTAAAAATGTATAGGATAAAATACCACCAATTACTCATTGCTGTTAAAAAATATTTGTTCACACAATATGTATGTAAACATTTAAAAAGACAGAAACATAAAAATATTTCACTATATCATAAAGGCTACAATCTGATTTCATAAGCCCACGCTATGTTTTTCTCCTTTTGTTGGGTGTCTATGTCATCATTTCATTGACTTCATGTTATCATAGTAATGTGCACTTCACACAAACTCCTGTTCTTAAATACTTATTCTTTCCATTTTAAAATAGAGTACCACCATCACTATGATCTTCTACATTTTGTTATTATTATTATTATTATTATTTTGCAACAAGAGTCTCACTTTGTCACCCACAGTAGAGTACCATGGCATTACAGCTCACAGCAACCTTGAACTCTTGGGATCAAGTGATTCTCTTGCCTCAGCCTCTCCAGTAGCTGGGAATCCAGGTGCCTGCCACAATGCTTGGCTAGTTTTTCTATTTTTAGTAGAGATGGGGTCTCACTCTTGCTCAGGCTGATCTCAAACTCCTGAGTTCAAGCAATCTACTCGCCTCGGCCTCCCTGAGTGCTAAGATTACAGGCATAAGCCACTGTGCCTGACGATCTACTTTTTGAAGTTTTAATGTCATAATCATAATTCCCTATCCTATGACTTCCATATGAAACAGTTCCACCTTATACATTCTGACATATAATCCTTTCCAGAAGATACATTTTTTTTTACTGCAAGCAATAAAGGGAAGCATATAAATGTTATTACTGCCCCAATAATGAATACATTTGATGAAATTACCAAATTCCAAGTATTTTATCTTAGTGTTTCATAGGGATAATGGAAGAATACTAGGTAAGGAAGCTGTTAAAAGATGTCCTTCAAATTTGGAATAGCTTCAACTTGAGAAGTTTGAAAAAAGAAATGCTAGCAATTCAAGGACAACTGCATTGAAGCTTGCATGGAAATGCAAAATCACAGATCATGATCAGTTCAGGATTGACTAAGAAAATGTTTGTTAATGTAACTATATCTGACACTCTAAAAGCATTACCATAAGATCTGCCTTAACACAATCATAAAAATTTTACTGTGAAATGTGCAGTGATCTGTAACTGTGTAGGGGCCTGGGTCTCCACAACCTTTGCTGGGATCTGCACTGAGGGCAGTTGACGCAAGGAAAAACTCAGACTCAGTTATCTCAGATGAAATAACCAATGGGAGCCTGTGAGAGGCTTACACTATAACTACTAGCATCTCAAGTGAGGCCAGAAAGTGCAGCAGTGGTCCATTATCCCATAGGTCTTTTTATTCAATCAAAAATCATAAATTGTGTTGACAACATAATGTAAAAACTAATTTGAGTTATTCAAAGCAAAGCACCTCAAGAAGGGAAACAAAGGAAAGGAAAATCATGTAGGCACACCATGTAATTACAACATATACTTTACAAATTGGGGATAAACTTGCATAACTCGCTTCCGTGATTTCTATCTATGCTTAGGCAGGACTCAGGCAATAATAATCTTTGGTTGCTAGGCATTCTGTTCTCAGCCACCAGGTAAGAAATGGGCCCCTTGCAACACCTCAAAGGGGAGTACAGGATCCTGGACTCTGGTCAACAGGGCCCCAGAATTCTAGCCCTGAGCCTCCCAGGTGCAAGACATCTTCTGTAGACCACCAGGCTATTGCTAGCCTCAAGGGGTATAAGGGACTCGGACTCTGGTTTAATGAGCCCTTCAGAAATGCATAGCCTGAACTATACTACCAACTCCCACATAACTGCAAAGTTAACAGTACCTTATCAGCCTGTACTATGAGAAAAATTACCAATGAAACACTACACATAGCCACAAATAATAAGAATCTAACTTTAGGGTGGGCACGGTGGCTCACACCTGTAATCCTAGTCTCTGGGAGGCCGAGGTGGGTGGATAGTTTGAGCTCATGGGTTCTAGACTAGCCTGAGCAACAACAAAAATAAGTAAAGGGGACCCAGTCTAATTAAAAAGCTTCTGCGCAGCCAAGGACAATGTACTAAATGGGAGAAAATATTTGTCTGGTATAGAACTGATAAAGGGATTATGAGAATCTTCAATGAACTCAAGCAAATGACCAAAAAACAAGAAAAGAAAAGAAGAAAAAAAAGAAAAAGAAAAGAAAAAAAACAAACCATCCCATTTAAAAGTAAGCAGAAGACACAACAGAAGCTTTTCAAAAGAAGATAGATGAAAGGTCAATAACGTATGAAAAACTGCTTAATGTCTCTCATCATCAGGCAAGTACAAATCAAAGCCATAATGAGACATCACCTTACTCCAGTGAGAATGGCTTTTATTAAAAAGTTCCAAAATAGGCTCGGCGCCTGTGGCTCAAGTGGCTAAG